TTTTAAAGTTTAGCTGATTGTTGAGAAGCTCATATTGTACTTAGTCCTAAATTAAACTAGCCCTTTCAATCTGCCCAATGCAAATTAGGCTATTTTCTGAGTTGGATCCAATCTGAATCTTATGGTCACTGTACACACACCCACGTTCAGACTGGTGCCCAGATTGTTTTTTAACTATCTTCAGGATAGGATCATGCTTCCAGCAGAGCTCTGGATTGGGTAATTTACAGGAATCCTTATGATTACCTAATTAGGGTGAGGACTTGATAATTAAGAGGTATTTGTATACATCTGGATTTCCTAAAATTTGCATATTGCAGCAAGGCAACTCTTGTTTAAGTCAGAGTAAAGGAAACCCATCACTGAATTACACCATATGAAAAATTCAGGAACTGTCAGGAACTTCCTACTCACCATTAATTCTTTGCCCTTACAATCTCTTCTAACAGTGCATATTAGACACAGTATTTCTGGATAATAAAAGAACAAGGCTGTCCTTTTTCAGAAAGGCTTGGTCTTCTGCGGCATGGATGTACTGTATAAGCTGTGGCCATGCCAGTGTGGCTGAACTTCAGCTTCTAGTATCTCTCTCCCTTGGTCATACTGATTAGGACTATTGAGAATTGAAATAGGGCGGCATATGTAAGTGTAGGAAAAACTCCTCTCACAGATTTTTCTAAGAGTTCCTGTTAAACCAGAGACAATCAGAGATTGTTTATTGTGGTACTGGAGGCAGCAAGGCTAATCTGAAAAAAGGCAGGGATGCAACCTCTCTATGCAGAATTATGCAAAGTTCAATACTGTATACATCTGATTTGATACAGCAAAGTAATTGATTGGATATGATTGGATATAGTAGTCTCTTATGAGTCAGTGAGGTCAGATATGGGGTGGATTCTGAGATAATAGGGGCAATACTACAAAGACAGTGGTTTATTGAGAGAACGAAGACAGCCTTTTATGACCATGGTTACTTTCTAGAGGGTCACTTTAAGGGGTTTATCTTAAACTTTCTTTGGTTCCCAGAGCCTATGCCTGCTCCTGATATCTTCCAGGTTTATCATCATTCCTTGGCTTTCCAAGCCTTTTATGGCTGATCTGACAGTTTTATTATTTTTAACTCCCCAGGAAAGTAATTAGGGAAGAGGGATGTTTTCCTTTGTTTTACTTGTCCAAACCAATGCCATATTTTCTCCTACACAGAACTACAGATTGCCCATCTATATTCTATAGTATGTCCCAAAGAAAGCAAATATATGAATTAATTGCACCTAGGTTTCCTATAAGTTTTCATTCAGACAGAAATAAGTCTCCATTTAGTCTCTCCAACCTTGGGTGCCACACATTTTTGTAGAATCTTTACTCTGAATGAAGAAACCATAGCACAGTGCTTGTCTCCTTTTTCTGTTTCTGTTCTAGCCGCTTGCTTGCATTATTTGCAGCTAGGTATCTCTCTCTTTCACCCATCCCTCCTTTTCAATAGGTCTGCTTTTATTTGGTGAATATAAAGCAATCTCCTATTTGAAAGATAATTATTTGGTAAAAACTTTGTCTTCCTTTTGGATAAATATGATACTGTAAATCTTTTATGGGATCGTGTTTTGCTTCGGCAGTGCAATAAAGTGTTATCACATGAATTTGTTTTGCTAATAATATTTTCCATTGGTCAGCACAGCAAAATCTAAAGGTTTTTATCAAAGGAAAATAATCAAAAAGAAAAGTAAAAATAAGATGCCATTCTGTGTATTATATATTCCAGTGTGCAGAGCTATCATAACAATAGCTATCTGTGCTGAAAACTGTTTTTATTTTGTACATAGGAATTCCTCCTAATTTATTGAGAATTAAAAAAAAAAAAAAAGTAAAGGTGCTATAAATCCAGTGGCTGAAACTGCCAGTGATTCATATTGAACTCTTCTTATAACTGGAGAAAAGAGAAGTAAAAATGTGTCTGGAATAAAGAAAACTGTTAGACATTTAAGATCTGTCAGGTTTGAAAATTCTTGCAAGTAACAAGTTTTAGACAGAAATAAATGGAAGAGTACAAGGAAAATTCTAAAGAAACAACAAAGATAGGCATGGTTTTTGTCATATCTGTAGCTGGCGTATGATCTGAGCCAGCAGTGAAGTCAAAAAAGACAAGACAGAGGTTGAGGTAGAATGATCAAAGCCCCACCCCTTTTGCGCATTCGTCAACATTGCATGCACAAAGGGGCAGAGCTTCGATCCTGCTATTGCAGCCACCATCTTGATTTTTATCACCAACACCTTGTGGATGCTGCTAATACAGTATGAACATTCTTCTAGCAGTGAAAGGTAAAGCGTGTAGTAGATACAGCATTCAAATGTTCGAGGTGGACAGAAGATCTCCAAATAACTCACAGTGTATCAGCAAGGGTTCTCTCAACTTGTTTTTTCTCAACCATTTGACAGGAGCAGGAATTAAAAAAAATTCTTAGCCCACTCCAATTCTAAATTACATTTCTGAAGTTATGGATTTGGCCAAAATAGCAGATGTTTATGTGAAAGAACCATGAACTCCATTTATTTCTGGTGCTCAAAAGACCTTTCTAGACTCTGAAATCTTCAATACCTTTCATGTCAGGTGCCAGTTGGTAGACGTCCCTGTTCTAAATAAATAAATAAAACCAATAAGCTTGAGATTTGCCTGTTCTTGCTATTTGACCTTTGAACTTCGTTTTATATGAATATACTCTTGTGTTAAACAGGATTTGGTCACTTTTGTTAAATTGATTAGATTCTCTTACATGTTTTGGAAATGCATCAGGCTAAAGTAATCTATTCCTGCATCCCCAATTCACCCTGCTTCTTCCATAGAAGTAGGGAGTGGGAAACAGGAGGGAGTGTGAAGAAAAAATAAGGAGATAATAACACGGGAACTTGAGTGAGAGAGAGAAAATGTTTGTCCTGGCTACAGCTGACATTTTATCTCCACAAATTTATGTACAGATGAATGTAGTCATTGGGATGAAAGATTAATTAAACATAAAACATTGAAAAAGCTGCAAGTATAAACGTGTGCGTTAATTATTGAGTATATTCTTATCAAATTTTATAAGAAATACTTTTTATATCTGACTTTTTTTTAATGGATAGGGCTACCTCCGTTTGCATGTTTTAGTAATAGTGCTTCTAATAGAAAATAGTTACATTATGGCAACTAGCTGGGCAAAGTATCATGCTTATTCATGTTTTTATGCAGAGAGTGGGAAGGCGGAAATCCATTTGGGCTGCAGGCCAGGGTTGTCAGCTGCCGTTTTTATGGTGCTTCAGTAGTAATGGGGCAAAATGAGCTACTGCCAGACTGCAGAGCAAGTAATAATAACACTTGGATTAAAACTATGTGATGCTCATAAATGAAATATTAAAGGTACTCGGCTTTGCATAATTTTGAGATTGAAATTATTTGCATGCTTATCGCATACATGATTTCATTTCAGCTCCTTAGCGTCTTGAGGAGTAAACGGAAAAATTGATTAAATAGATTGGAAGAGCAGTGTTATCTATAGGTTTAATCATATAGTTGGCTATGAATATGATGATATAACGTGATACAACGTTGAAATTCTAGGTGAAGATAGTTAATATGGATTGTATTCATTCAACTGACTTTTTAACCACCCTTTAATTTTTTTCTTTTTTTGAACATGTAATTGTCTATTGATCAATCATAATAAAGCTGCTACAGTGACTGGTTTCTACCATAGGAATTTTAATGGGAATGAACGTTTCTTTTCCCCATTCTTCGTGTGCCAATATCCATCTACATATTGTGAGCTATTTTGCAGCTCCTTCTCAGTCTACAAATTTTGGTTCTTCTGAGTTTGCTGATAACCTTCCTCTTATGCAAGAGAAGTGTCATTTTGCTTAAATAAGCAGGACATTGGAAATAGTGGGAACGGTTGGAATTGAAACCGTTTCCCTTTGTTAGATTCCATAATGCTCAAATTAAGAGTTCTGTGACAAAATGGGTGTTCTTTATTGTCCATATCAGTGGATCATCATGGATATGGAATTTAAGCTTAATAGCACACAGTGGTGGCTAGAATTCGTTTTGTGACCTTTGATTTACATCGTACTCTGCAAAACACCATAGCTGGCTGTTCCCCCTGATTATAGGCCATGAATTCAGCACATATTGCTGTCTATAACATATGTAAGACAACAACTGATATTGAACTCGAATATATTTATAAATAAACTCCATCAATTTCCAAATGAATAGAAGATATGACACCCCCTTCCTCAAGATACTTAGTTTACAAACCACAATGATTGTATTCATACAATACAGTAAGCTGAAACTAATCAAATCTCATTAGGACTTAGTAGAATGTGTGCCCCCACATCTTCCAGTGCAAACTTAGTTAATAGGTCGTTACTGGATTTCACTAAGGCCTATTTTAATAGATGAATTATATGATTGGTATATCATTTCATGATTTGCAAAGGATGCAGTTGGTTCAGGTTAGAATAGGTTTTCAATGATTATTATCCAAAACTTGGAAAACAGTATGTATGTTTAAATAAATAAATCCTATGACATAAATGGACACCTCTGTGATTGAAGAAGGAATTTGCTTTTCTCCTTCCTTCCTTCCTTTCATTTTTATACAAAACTTAGAAGGGTTTATATAAGTAAATTTTGCTTATTGTAGAAAAGTCTTGAAAATACAGTGGTACCTCGGGTTACGAACGCCTCTGCTTACGAACTTTTCAGGTTGCGACCAGCTCCGGCTGCAAAAATTTACCTCGGTTTGCGAACTCCGCCTCAGGGTACGAACCGGATCCGTGGCCATTTTCTGCCGTGACACGTGGTCCGCGGCCATTTTCCGCCCATGCCACGTGGTCCGCGGCCATTTTTCCGCCCGTGCCACGTGGTCCGTGGCCATTTTTCTGCCCGTGCCACGTCGTCTGCGGCCATTTTTCCGCCCTGCCGCGTGGTCTGCAGCCATTTTTCTGCCCTTGACGTGTGGTCCGCAGACACCGGAACGGATTAACGGTAATTACATTAAACCTTATGGGAAAATTTGCTTTGGGCTGCGAACAAATCGGGTTGCGACCAGAGTCACGGAACGGATTAAATTCGTAACCCGATTAAATTCACTGTATATTGAATAATTTTATGTCATTTTATGATTGCAAAGCTGTGTTCATAATTTTCACTTAGTTGATGGTTCTTTAATTATCTTATGGAGGGTTCACTACATGTGTATACATGAATAATGGAAAGCAGATTATCATGGAAATGAAAGTCTCTTAAAAGTACTTGTGACTACATGTTCTACATGTTTATACACTTTGGGCAGAAGGATAAAGAACTCTGAAGTGATTGAAAGTAATCTTAATTCTAATTCTAATCCAGCTATTGATTGGTTGATAGATTTTAATGAATTTTTGGGGATTCATCTAGGGTGGTGCAAATAGAATGGTCATCATTTTGATACTTGGACCATTTGCATTCATTATTGCACTGTAGCACTAAAAAAAATAATATCTAGGTACTTCTGATTAATGAAAACTAGCAGAGCTGGAGCCAAGACAGTGGGGAGTCTTCAGTAGTGTACAGTAATCACTTATATTCCCAATAGCCAAAGCATAATTTTATTAATGTTTTATTCCAGATTTCTATAACCATTGTATTTTATTCATGTTTCTTTTTCTTCCCATCTCAATTCCAAACTTACAGAGTTCCAAACGAGAGTGGAAACCTCTGGAGGATCGCAGCTGCACAGATATCCCATGGCTGCTGCTGTTTATTCTCTTTTGCATTGGCATGGTATGTAACAAAAGACATATCTAAAGGGGCATTCTTTTTCCCCCCCCCCCAGGAACTGGATGATGATTTCACAACTTGTCAGAAGATTCATTTATTTTTATATATGTGCTGCATTAAGCAGCCAAGTAAAAATACTAAATTGATCCTTTTCAGCACATCTATGAGATTAATATATCTTATCTGAGTGTTAGTATTTGAGCTAAGATTTACTTTCTGTAGACCACAAGGACCAAGAGGGCAGGCATGTTTTAGGTCCCTTCTCTTAAGTGCCCTCTTACGCAATCTAGAAGGCTTCCTTCCTCTGTCACTATAACTGCCCTATGGAACAGCATCTCCTCTGAGATCGAGATAGGTGCTGGGCTTAAGTGAGTCCATTTTTAAGGGGGTTGTGTAGATATGTGCAGTGCCCCAGGAGCGTTGTGTTTTAGCTTTTGTGGGTGATTTTGCTGCTGTTTTAACAATATGTTCACCATCCAGAATCACATAGCAAGCTAAGTCTTACAAAGCAAATAACTAAATAAATAAACTAGAAACGAATTGGCAGCCCCAGTCTAGTTGATTGTAATATGAGCTCACAGCCCTATTTCCTTCAGCTGTATTTTGCATTAGTTGCAGATTTTGAAGGATCTTGAATACATCCTCTTCCAGCATAGAATTCCTCAGAGCATAGATAATAATGGCCAGATCCTTATCGACAAGAAAGGTTTGTATCAGGCTCATAAATGTGATTAATCAGATGCACTTCTAGTCAATGTTGCTATCTGAGCTTCTGAATACTATTTTGATACAGAAATTTCAAGCCTGAAATAAGGAAGCTTGTGATAACCTAGACTTATACAACTGTTGTACCTATGGTTCTGGTGCTTCAATTTCCCTTTTGGATGCTAATTTTATAGTGTGTATATACGTATGATGATGTACACACATGAATTTCCATTGTTCTTTATTAGGCAATCATGCTTTTACCTTTAAAAAAATCCTGAAGAAAGAAGAAAGAACTGGAATAGAAAAAAGAATGAAGTTTTATATAGAGATCTAACAGGAAGATATAGTTTAAAAAAATGGCATTTCTCTTATAGTGTGGCACTGAAAACGTTCTCAATTTATTTCTTCCAGGGTTTTATTTGTGGCTTTTCAATAGCTACTGGAGCAGCTGCAAGATTGGTTTCAGGATATGATAGTTACGGAAATATCTGTGGACAGAAGAATGTAAAAATAGAGGGAATAGACAACAGTGGCTTAGATCTCACAGAAAAAAAGTAAGTATATAATCTAAGGACTGCTGTGTTTTAATAACTGAGTCATTTTGGTTTACAAGACTAAGAAAAATAATAACATTTTTATTGTAAGTTTAGACACTACTGTTTTAGTTAAGCAATCTCTTTTTCCCAAATGTTCTCTATATCTGGATGCTTGTGCGTAATTCTGTGCAAATAACATCCATCCCTGTGAACTGTATACTTGGAAATTTAGAATCTCTTTGCTGCCTCTATACAAGTCAGTTCTTATGCAAATATATTTGAGTGCTTTCTTTGTTTGCCCTGCTCACAAGATGATGCGCTTTTGTTTGGAGAAAGCCATTTTTTATTACAGTTATGGCAGTATTAATGTTACACTTTCCAAAAGAATCATGGGAATTGTTTTTGAAAATGTTGAGAATTCGCTGTTTCTCACATCTTTAATCTGCATAGCTGTCATAGCAGTACATGCCCTAAGAAATTATTCCAGGCACATCTGATGCAAGATCAGACTATTTGCATTCAAAGAAGTTTTGAATATCCAAAGTATAAGTGGACCTCTAGAGAACAATATTTAATTATGACTAAAGCATATTTCCACTGTAAATATGAGGGGCAGCTAATTGAAAATTAAGCCCAAAGAAAGACTGGTGGTTGAAGTCAAAGTAGAGCCATAATATTCTCTTTCTAATACTTTAAAAATTGCAGCTTAGTAGCAACCTTTATAGGGGCTCTGGGACCTGCACCCTGGGGCATGAAATCATGTATCTTGGGCTTAGCACAATGAGTGAATCTCATCCTAGCTTATCAACAGTGATAATAATGACAAAAGATACAGAAGGGAGGATAGTTGAAGAATCAGGTGTGCACATGCACACACACACACACATCTCACTGAAGTGAGATCTATGCTCACACAATTTTCTTGTTTATTTGTTTATTTATCATATTTGTGTAGCCATCCATCTCACAAAAAAGTGACTCTAGGCAGCATACAAATTATTGGTTTTGCAGTATTTTGATAAAAGTTTATGAAAGTGATGGCACAGGTGATGAAGGTCTGACATCAAAGTTGAGGTCTTTTCATTTTTTTGAATTATCACTGAGTCATGGGCTGATATTTGGTTACTTTGTGACTGTGGGAATTGATGAAACTTGGGGCTTCTAGAGTAGTCTCTCAGTTGATTGGGAAGATGAAGCTGCCAGGACCACCAAGGCAGCAATGGAACCAGCAACAGAACAGCAACAACAACCAGCTGTTTGGTGGTGTGTAAACTACTACCTAGCTACTATTGCTCAACTGATGAGGATTTGGCAGCATGGAGATGACAATGGAACTGGTTATATTCTTTGTGGTGGTGGTGGAAAAGACATTGGCAGTGAAATATTCCTGGACTGGCCTTGATCAGAAGGCTCTGGATTTGAGATACTGTAGTTGGTCTGGACTATTTTTGATGTTGAGGGATGGGTGCTGATTATTGTGTAGTCACCCATTCCCCCTTGGGTGAGAGATGAGGGAGGAAAGGTACACCCCAGCTTACATTAAACCCATGAAGAGTGCTGTTTTGCTCCCCTCTGGTTACTTGGGTGAGAGTGGTATGACTAGGGGGAGTGGTATGATATGGTTTTTGATGAGATATGGATATGTGTGTGGCACAGAGTATAGGCTGTTGGTTAATCTGAAGGATGTTCTGACATCTGACAATTTAGCTGATTGAGCCGTTGGCGTCACTTGGTATAGTATGAGTCTCCTTGGAGAAAGGAGGGCAGGGGTTGAAGGAGGTTGGTGATTGGGGACGAGGGCAGGGAAAGGGCAGGTTATAATATTATGGTAGTGACAGGCAGAGGGAGATATGGTGTGCGAGCTGTGCAATGAAATACCTCCTTAAAAGGTCTACAAGGCAAGTCAGTATTCTGAATGTGTGCGTACCTTGAAGCAAAATGAGGAATGGAGCTCCTCCTCAGCTTCCACAGTTTTAACTGGTGTGCATTCATGGTGCAAAACTGCATGTACATTTCACACATTTTAAATAGATACTTATGGTGACAATGTTTGAATAGAAGAGATTTTATTTATCTTCAAGAAGGAAAAGAGGCTTGTTGTGTTTCAAAGTAAGTCTTCACCATTCCATTCATCCACTTGTTATATAGCCCAAACTGGCCTATTCCTACCTATCTCTCTCTGTAAGACTTACTACTGTTTCTTGAAAAAAAATCTTAAGTAATCTTACCTTTTCCCTAATATGGCTGTAAAAGATTACTTCAAAAAAAACAGAGACTTGTAATAAACATTTGGGGAAAAAAAAGAAAAGAAAGGGGATATGAAATAATTGTGTGTACAATCCATGATCCTGCACTAAAACCATCTGCTATCTTGGCTGCTGAGCAGATGGAGAACTTTTTGTGGCAATCTCAAGGAAATGAATATATATATATATGATAATAATAATTACACTACATTACAGCAATACTATTCATGAGCCAAGATAGAATTCTAACTTTCTATACTTCAAAATGTGACAGATGCGTTGTAGGATGTAAGAAAGTATTAACAAGCAATTATAATAGCCTGTATCATATAATGATATATTCTGCAGTTAAACTAAGTACCCCAAACAGCTATTGTTATAAGGAGAGTATTTAATCCATATGGAACAGAAGTCCAAACTTATAAATGAATTCCCATATTTTGCTGTCTTAAATTTTCACACTTTCTGAGTAATGCTTAATGAATAAATAGGGGGGGGGGACTTGTTCTAATGATACATTAATAGCTTTAAGAATCAGCAGGAGTCAAAGCATTTAGATTAGGCTGAGATTTCATCTGCCTAGCCTTTTCTGCTGCTCGAAGGTCTGTTGAAAATCAAAATCAAAAGTGTACTTGCACCTGTGAGCTGGAAGGCACACAGTGGTCTTTATAATTTTCAACTAATGATAGGTTCTCTTTATAGCCATGTTCACTGGGTGCAGAAGTAATGCCTGTTAGTGAAGGATTGGATACCAGAGGAAAACTGTTTTTTTTTTTTAATATTGTAGACAGAAAATGAAGATCTAGCTTATCCATATCAAAGTAAAAGATAGAGTTCCTGTATGAAAAGCTATAAAACATTCAAAAATATTTACAAAAATCTCAAGAATATAGTGACTGGTACAAAAATATGCATAACTCTACATGGATTTGAATCCAGATCTTTTTTCAAAGTCCAAAGTTACTTTTTTTTTAAAGAAAACCATTTTATGTCGATTTAGTTCCCAATGAAGTTTAAATAACCTGATCAAATTGAACCTTTGATATCAGCATTTAATATTTACAACTCACTGTCCCACTGAATCAAGAAAAACCCCCCCTATGATTTGCATTGATTACATGCAATTAAGTCAATGTTGATTCTTAGCAACCATATATATTTTTCTTCAGCAAGGCCTGTCTCCAATCTGGTCCTTCAGGTCTTCCAATGGTGTACCCATCACTTCTGTAATTGAGTCCATCCACTTTGATGCTGGTTGATCTATTCTCTTTCCTTCTACCTTTCCCAGCATTAGAGCCTTCTCCGGAGAGTTAAGTCTTTGCATCCAGTCTTGATCTTTGGCAGCCACTTTTTACTTTCATCCTTAACAACTTCTTGAACTTCATTCAACAGTTCTTCTGGGTCCCTATCCATGGGGTTCAGGACTTCAAAGCGATTTTGGATGTTCTCCTTTAAAATGGTAGTTATATATGCTCAAGATCTTATTGTGGAAACTGGTTGGCTTTCTTCTTCCATTTTAGCTTAACTTGGAACATGCACATGAGCAGTTTGTGATCTGTTTCACAGTTACTCCTTGGCCATGTCTTTGCTATTATAACTGAGCTCTTCTACCTCCTTCTACCAATAATATAATCAGCTTGATTTCTGTGATGTTGATGTCCCTGTATGTGGGCGCTGTTTTGGTTGTTTGCAATGAAGAAATCATTCTATTGGCAGAAATTGATAAGTCATTCTCCTGCTTCATTTCAGTTTCCTAAACCACACAGCGCAACAACATTTTCTTCCTCAATATTTCCAACTTTGGCATTCCAGTCTCCAGGCACAGAGACAGACGCCTAGAGTAGCCTTCACAGCAGCCCTATAGATATCCCCCTAATCACTCCTTACTCAAAAAGGACCAGGTCACCCAAAACAGGGCTGTCAGCCAGCTCTCCATTGATGCAATGAGAGCAGAAAAATACTTGTTTTTTTTACTTGTCACCACAAGGTAATCCTTAGAAAGGCTCTTACCTCTGTTTAGTCAGGTTCACCCTTCATACTACATACAAGGTTGGCTCGCTCGTCCACAATTAAATCATGGATAAGGGGAGTGTTATTACAGATTGGCTGTACTTTAAGTAGCAAGAGCAGGAAACTGAGTCACTGGAGCATTGGTGGCCAGGCATTGTGGCAGAGTACAAGGGGCTGGTTTCAGTGCCAAACACTGAGGCAGCCTTCCTTGCAAGCAGCAAAAAGAAACCCTTTGTTATTGTTAACATCCTTTGCTTAGCTCATTCTGGGCATTCATTTCCCTGAGAGCATCTCTAGAGTTTATACTCTTCTTTTGTGACCTGGCTCTTTTTACCTTTCTTGGATGTATCTTTCTTTGTTTTTAGATCTTCACTAAACTTCTTGTGTAACCATACTGACTTCTTGAGCTCTCCTCCATTTTTTCTCCTCATTGGAATTGTTTGCAATTGTGCTTTTAATATCTTCTTTGGAAACCCCCACTCATCTTGAACTCCTTTTCCCAATGGTTTCACTTTCCAGTGGATCCTATTGAGTTTATTAAAATCTATGTTTTAAAAGTCCATGTTACAGTACATGTTTGACTATGCTCAATTTTAATTTCACTTAAAATGAAGAAGTTCAGCATTATGGTCGCTTTCCCCAAAGTTTTTGCTACTTCTACTTCCTTAACTATCTTCCATATTTTCTGTATGTTGTGCAGGAAATAAATAATAGTTATGATTGGTACTTATATTTGCTATTTTAATGTTCTTTGAAAATATATATATACTCAGTAATCTTTATGGACCTTCATAAAGTAGGTCAAGAGAAAATGCAAAGGTTGGTTGACAGATGAAGGGATGATATTTTATGCATTAATGGCAGTAGTAATAATAATGACAACAGGTAGAAAAAGTAACTAATGGACCATCCTATGATTACTTCATGCTTTCTGTCTGATTCTACAGTATAAAGCATATATCAAAATAACAGTACAGTGGTACCTTGGTTCACGAACTTAATTCGTTCCGCGACTCTGGTCGCGAACCGAATT